AGTATGTTTACATACACATTGGAAGGGGACTAGATGCTTTCTTGTGAAAGAAAGTCATACGATGAGATGAACTCTATTAATCAAAAATAATAATAATAATAAGGGTTGACTACTTTTGAGATTTTCTTTGGCAACTCAATTTACATCTATTAGAATGATATTGTTGTTTCCTCCATTTATAATCTTGAAGCGTAGCAAATGGATGTGAAGTTACACTTCTAAATGGAGAACTTGAAGAGGAAATTTACAATGGTACGGTGTCCAAAGCCAAGAGGATAAGGATAGGAAGAGGATGCAATTTTGTATGGAAAAAATTAGGACATGTGTCAAAGATTTCTACCACTAAAAGTTAAGAAACTCAATAAAGCAAATATCATCATTGAGGATGATATGTTTGCTATACTCACAAATTTGAGAATTTTGCTATGTCCTTAGCATTGAAAAAGTCTTGAGGAAAGATTCATCAGTTGTGTTCCTTTAAGAGGGCCCATGTCATCTCAAGTCATAGCAAACACATTGCTAAATAATCTTGTGAGAAGTATTGTGAAAAATAAGAAGGTAGAATATCTACCTATTAAACAAATAATGTTGATTGACCTCATAACAAAACCTTTAAATGAGAAAAGGACATTGAATAAAATTTGAAGAGGCATGGGACTACTACGAGCAAGGTGGAGTAATCATATTTGAAACCAACTTCATCACTTTGGAGTTGACATGAAGACGTGTTTTTAATCAACAATTAGGTGCATAGAAGTTCAATGGCAATTCACTCATGAATTCCTCAAGAAATGTTAGCACGAAATGTTACATTTTCAATGTACTTTATTATTTAAAAAATAGTGAGGGTAATTAAATAAATAAATAAATATTTCTTTTAAAGTCTTCTACCTAAACAAGTACAATATTTATTTACAACAAACTAGGTTGAACATTAAAGTTCTTAATAAACTTATAGCTAACTCTAGTGGAATAGAAGTTGTGAATATTCTTGGTGAGTCTACCTATGCAAGTAGAAAGATTAGAGGCCGCCTTCTATAGATTACACTGGTTAATCTTAAGAGCACTTGCTAAATAGGATTAGCTCATAGCCCTTTTATATATGCGCTTGCCATGGTGGGACTTTGAACCCATGTATAATGTGAATATAATTCCTCAGTGCTTCATATTCTATTCAAAGGTTCAAGTATTAGCCACCTTTTGGACATACATTAAATATTGCCAATATACTTAACATTATTATTAGAAAATAAGCGGGGGATTGTTGTATATATTAGTATATAGAGTATTTTGTTAATAATAAGAAAATATAACATATAATGTATTTATGTAGTATTTTAATATATATATATATATGTATATAAGGAAACGGAAAGGGATAGAGGAGGAAATATGAATAGAAGGTGAAAAGTAAAAAACAAAGAGAAGATACAACAGCTTGAATAGAAGCAATAAATCATTTCGCAACTGTTGTCTTGTTTCACGAACAAGTTTAATATTTAAATATTAACTTAAAGAAAGACATCAGTTCTTTTTTAGAAGTTGTGTTTCTCTTCGGTGGCGTAAAAAGCACTAATTGATGTATATAAATTAACTAGATAGCACCAAGAGATACAATTTTTTTTTTCTTTCCTTTGCATTTTCTTTCTTCCTTGAGTATACTGGCTTTGGGTGACTAAGGTTCAATTAATAAGCATTGTATATTGAGGATAACTCTTGAAGAGAAGTGAAAACTATTATCTTTAAGATAGATTCCTAGAACTGCCTTACCTACAACAATTGTATCTACAACTCTCTGCTTACAACAGCTGAAACTGCTCCAGTTCTTTGACATGCCTGAAGAACTGATCAAGACTCTCCATCCTGGACTACAAGGTGGAGATTACTGGAAAGTTGCGGGATTCCAGAAGTTTATTACACAATGGAAATGGGAGGTGTATTCCTTGAAGAGTTGTGGGGAGAGAGTCAGTGCTCTAGAGTCTCGTGTTGAGAGCATAGCGAAGAAAGTCTAAAAATACTATGGGTGAGAACCCATAAACAAAATAATAATAATTATTATTATTATTATTATTGTTGTATTACAATATATCATAAAACCCCAAAGCAACAGTTTCCAAAAAAATATTATTGTAATTATATTATTATAAATATTATGTAATATTATAACTATATTAGTTCCAAAAAATTAAAACCTCAAAGCAGCAGTTTCCATTATTACGATGAAAAGAAAAATTCATACAAGGAACATGCAAGATTGTAGGAGAAATTATGCTATGACAAAGAAAAGGTTTCTGCATTACTTGAGAATAAGGCATCTGGGTTATAAAGTCGCTCGTGTTGAAACGAAGTTGTGAGTTACCAAAAATTTCTGGCTAAGGGGCACGGTGCCTTGGAAAAATTCGAACAAAATAAGGCCTAACCCCAACAAGGTTACAACTCATTTACTATGAAACATCTCCTTATCTTGTACACTTACCATTGCCAGAGTACAGACGGGAGCTATATGAACAAAATTTACAGATCATTCTTTTGCCATGTGCTAGTGCCCTAGTGTACGTTATCTCCCAAATAAGCAAAAACCCTTTTCTTGAAAACTCGACCCAAGTCCACAATTTCAGATTCTCTCATCTGCTTAAACATGCTGTCAGACCACCCCGGATTGTGCTCTCTCTTGGATAACCTGGTTGCTAAATCAATGGTTAAACTGGCCATGTCTCTGTTGAGAGTTAAAGCTCGCAAGAAAGTCGCAGAGTACAAAGAGTTTGATACAAGTCTGTTCAGTAATATCAGCACCTCTCGCATCAACAATGTCCTGCATAAAGAGCAAAAGAGAACAATTACTTGAGAGAACAAAAAGGGGAAAACATCAAACAAAGTTCATTTCCTAAAAGAGAAAAGTTGGAAGTATGACGTTCTCAATCTTTCTAATATTTAAATGGCGTGGAGGACATGACCTTAACCATAATAACTCAAAAGTGAAACAAGAATAATACATCCATGGTTCTGCATCCAACAACAGTGAGCATAGGACCATCATCAAG